AAAAAAAAAAGAGGAGAAGGGAAAAGAGATCAGGGACTTTCCTGTCACTGTCCCATAAGGTTAACAGCAGCCTGGCTCTTTCCCTCCACCAAAGGTCACTGCCTCTTTGTACACTTCTCCATACTCTCTCCATCAACTTCTTTCCTACATTCTGCTCTCACTTTTGTGAGGATTGTCTTCTGTTTCCTGTTGGAACCCTGACTAATAGGACCCCCAACCCTAGATTCCCTGGATTGATCTATATTGCAGTCATTCACAGCTCTGGCTTCAGGTTAGGAACACTGATAAAAATTTCATGTCCCTCACATCCCCCTTATACCTCAGGGTCAAGCAAGGCAAGCACTAAGCCACTCTGGATCTTCAGTCTGCTCCAGCCCAATGTCAGATCTTCCAGGGTTCTAAGTCCAAGTGGCTTAGGCTAAAGCATCATTCCCCCAGGGCACTCTTCCTTTGTGACTTCACCCATTGAAGTCACCTGGGAGACAGTGTTGAATGTTCCATCCTAGAGTCTTAGAGTCTTAAGAGGCAGGGCCACCAGGCCCGGCCAGCCCAAAGGACTCTTTGTCCACAGTGTAAATGAGGACTCTGCTGGCCCATGTCCGGCAGGGATGTAGAGGGCAGACTCAGAGACACCGGGCGCTCCCAGCACCATGGATGACGCTGCCGTCCTGAAGCGACGAGGCTACATCATGGGGATAAATTTGGGAGAGGGCTCATACGCAAAAGTCAAATCCGCTTACTCTGAGCGCCTAAAATTCAACGTGGCGGTCAAGATCATCGACCGCAAGAAAGCCCCCACGGACTTCCTGGAGAAATTCCTTCCCCGGGAAATTGAGATTCTGGCCATGCTAAACCACCGCTCCATTGTCAAGACCTACGAGATCTTTGAGACATCAGATGGGAAGGTCTATATCGTCATGGAGCTCGGGGTCCAGGGTGACCTCCTCGAATTCATCAAAACGCGGGGAGCCCTGCAAGAGGATGATGCTCGCAAGAAATTCCACCAGCTCTCCTCAGCCATCAAGTACTGCCATGATCTGGACGTTGTCCACCGAGACCTCAAGTGTGAGAACCTTCTGCTCGACAAAGACTTCAACATCAAACTATCTGACTTTGGCTTCTCCAAGCGCTGCCTGCGGGATGACAGTGGCCGCCTAACATTAAGCAAGACCTTCTGCGGGTCCGCAGCATATGCAGCCCCCGAGGTGCTGCAGGGTATCCCCTACCAGCCCAAGGTGTACGACATCTGGAGCCTTGGTGTGATCCTGTACATCATGGTCTGTGGTTCTATGCCCTATGATGACTCCAACATCAAGAAAATGCTACGCATCCAGAAGGAGCACCGTGTCAACTTCCCACGCTCCAAGCACCTGACAGGTGAGTGCAAAGACCTCATCTACCGCATGCTACAGCCAGATGTCAACCGCCGACTGCACATTGATGAGATTCTCAGCCACTGCTGGGTGCAGCCTAAGGCACGAGGTTTGTCCTCTGCGGCCATCAACAAAGAGGGGGAGAGTTCCCGGGGCACTGAACCTTCATGGACCCCTGAACCTGGCCCTGAGAAGAAATCCGCCACCAAGGTGGAACCTCGAGAAGAGGCCCGCCCTGAGACAAAACCCGAGGAAGATGCAGCACAAGTGGCCAAGCAGCCAGAGCCCCTGGGCTTAAGCAGTGAGCAGCTGCCCAGGGAGAAAGAGGAAGTCCCACCCCAACAGCCTCCAGAGACACACACCTAGCAAGGCTCTGTGGGCCCAGGGGGCCAGCAGGGAACAAGGCAGAACTCCTGGCTTGCAGCCTGAGCCAGGAAGAAGTCAAGGGACAACCAGAGAAGGTAGACAGTCCCGGATGAGCCGCTATTTTTTCGTGTTTTTCTCTCCCCCTTTGAACTTATAACTCACATGGCTAAAGAAGCAATAAATCACTATATTAGTGCAGATCCGAATGTGAAGGAATGTCTTTGCCCAGTTAACTGTAATCTTGGGCTCCCCCTGTCTTCCCACTCAAATAGCAAATCCTCACTTGTAGGAAAATACATCTCAGTGCACCCAACCCCAATTCTGGCATCAGGCTGAGGCAGCTGCCCCAGTCAGAGGCTAGAGAGGCAGAGTGCAGGGTAGAAACCTAAGAAAGATGTGGGGAGAGAGGGAAGGAGGAGAGGACCAAAGAGGGTGGTGTGACAAGGCACCAGTGGCTCCTGCCTGTAATCCTATTCAAGAGGCTGAGATCAGAGGATCCTGGTCTGAAACCAGCCCAGGCAGGAGTTTGTGAGACTCTTATCTTGAATTAACCATCACCAAGCTGGAAGTGGAGTTGTAGCTCAAGTGGTAGAGTGCTAGCCTTGAGTAAAAAAGCTAAGGGGCAGGTCCCAGGCCCTCAGTTCAAGCCCCAGGACTGACACAAAAAGGAGGAGGGGAGGGAGTTGGCTGCTTGCAGAAACAGGAGGCCTGGAAGAGCTAGAGCTGATGACTGAATTTGGGGCTCAGAGGCCAGACAGATATACTGTCATCACCTTAGTACACCCAGCCACATAAGCCTGCCAGCAGGAGTTAGGGACACTATAGAGATCAGGTGGTCCAGCCATGTACTCCCTCTTGAGCTCCCTGACCTGTGGGGTAACTGGTTTTTCTGCTCTGTCTGCCATGGGACATCTTTCCCCACATCAAGCCAACACTCAGTTCACAAAAATGCTGAGTTGCCTGCCCAGGATTAATGAGGGGTTCCACTGAATAGAACAGCATACATATCCCATAGTTTCATGTGGCCTTGACCACATCCCACTGCCCCCCACCCCCAAATCCCAGCTGGTCCCCTGGAAGTGACATCCTTGCCAGAGTTGTTGAAGCAAGTATGATAGGCATCTTCACAAAGTATGTCTGAGCCTGTGCTTAGTACAAAGCCACCAAGGGTGTCTGACCTACATTGGCACCACTGGCTGCCATGTGCCACTGCCTCTGCCTGTTCCATACTGCAGGGTGGTCCTCACCTCGATATGGTGGCCCATTTTTCACCACCATGCTCTGGACAACCTCATGGGGACCTAAGAGTTTAACACACATTTTAAAAAAAGAAAAGAAAAATTGGATGGGAATGTGGCTTAGTGATAGAATGCTTGCTTAGCATGCATGAACCCCCGGGTTTGATTCCTTTGTACCACATAAACAGAAAAAGCCAGAACTAGAGTGCTACCCTTGAGCAAAAAAGCAGCTCAGGGATAGTGCCCAGGCCGAGTTCAAGCTCCAGGAATGGCACAAAAAGACAAGAAAACAAAACACATACGCCAAAATTCACCACCAGAAAACTGAAAGTGGTGCCATGACTCAAAGTGGTAGAGTGCTAGCCTTAAGCAGAAAAAGCTCAGAGACAGTGTCCAGGCCCTGAGTTTAAGTCCCAAGACCAAAACAAAACAAAAAAACATGAGAGCAAGCATTCAGAGTCAACTTAACTTCCCACCTATCTCCACCTTGAAAGACTTCAACCCCCAGTGCCCTAGGAGAAAAGGGGTCCAGTATGATTCTGGATCTGCCTCCATATATCCCTCACCCCTCCAGCCTCTCCTGGCACTTAGTGACCACACACAGCCCCTATAGTGTGGCTCCCGCATCTGCAAGGATTCCAGGGCCTAGCCTTTGAGGTAGGTCTTCCCAGGCCTGGCCCTCTGTTGATGTATCTTTCCTCAGATCCTTGCTTCTGCAGATGCTGCCCATTTTCCCCAAGCTCAGGCAAGAGGCCTCGGCCTCCACAGAGCCCTCTGAGGATTGCTACCAGTTCTTCACAGCCTACTCTTGTGAATTCTATCTATCTGGCAGGCCTGAATGTCAAGGATCCAGGCACAAAACAGGCTCTAAGGAACCCTGGAAGAGCCTTGTATCCCAGGAAGAAACTCATAGTGGAACAGGACCCTAACAAAAGTAACATCTACAGGCCCCTCCATGTGCACTACAGGTGATGTGAAGGAGAGCACAGCATTGGATCAACAGGTTGGCTCATGCCACCATGAATGTCACCTTGCTGAACAACTGTGGGTTGCTTAGCCCTGGCTTCATCACTTTAATGGCTCTCAAAGGTTTTAGGACCAGAACCTTAAGCACAGCCCCATGATCTGTTCATATTTCCTCCACACGGTGACCCACAGGCAATCACAAGCATTACCTGTCCTCATCCTCCACTTGGCTGGTTCCTCAGACGTCAGCCACCCCCAAGAATCCTGAAGCTCAGTCCCAGGTTATGTCTCTTCACCACTCCCAGTCTTTTGTATCATGGTATAGCTACCATCTTGCACTCAACAGTGGCTGGTGTAATGCTGTTTCCCTGGTCTCTAGGCTCTAAGAATGGCTGTTTCTAAATCACCAGTGTCCCTCTGTACCTAGAACAAGATCCTGAAATGCTTGTGGATGGATGCATCAGTGGGAAAGCCAAGGTTGGAGGGCAGTGGACTTCCCTGTGGGCAGGTCCCTGGTCCACAGGCCTCCAACACTAGTCACCCTGGAAGTCTTCAGTCTGATCTAACCCACTCCCTGGAAGATATCAGGTACCCCAGGCCTTCAGGCATATCCTTAGCAGCTCTGCTTGTGCCAAACTGACCCTCTGGCACATCCCTTGAGAACCAGAGACCAACCACGCTGTCCTGGGCAAAGGCAGGATTTGAGGGAACCATATCCATAGAAAAGAAGGGATGCCCCAGACAGAGCTCCCAGGGTGCCCATAATGTGAGGGAGAATTATCATGAACCTGAATCTTGGACTATGGCTCTTAACTGCCAGTCCCTTCTAGAAAACAAAGGGGTAAATTGTCCTAGAAGAGTGAAATGCCCAGGAGAAAGCCAGAGGGACTTGGTGCTGCTGGCAAGATGTTACCATGGGGTCTTCCTATCCATTCTGTCTGGCAGCCCACATGCCCAGGTGTTGAGCACAGTTGGTGCTAAAGGGCTTGGGGATGAGCAGTGTTTAGAGCATTACTCACCAAGTGTAAGCTTTGGGTGGGGACACAGCTAACATGCCCTGCCCATCTCGTCCACCTGTTAAAGTGCTGCTGATCTTCTGCACCTGGGCTCCTATGTTGCTTTCTCATTGAACTCTACTACCTCTTCTCCCCTTCACCCATCACCTCTCAAAAATTGTCTTCCTTACTTGCCCTCAGAACACAGCATTGCTGGCTCACCTGTCCTAACAGCTCCCCATAGGCACAAGATGCCTGTGATGGACAAGTGGCTACCAGGCATACAGAATGCCATTTTCCAAAGCCAATATATATGCACCAAGTACAAAAGATGGTCTTGAAGTAACCCCTTCCCATTGCACATGTCCACAGTGCCTGGATTACATGGATGCCCTGCACCCCTCAAAGCTTGTTCATGTGCAATGCTTGTTAAGTGCTGACAACACCCAGTCCCTCCACTTCCCACCACTGACCAGATAGATCTAGGCTGGCTCTTGCCTGGCTTCCCCGGATTCATAGAAGCCCAGATTCCTCAGACCTGGTCCCAGGCACTGGCTTTCAAACTCATCCGATCTTAAAATAGGACTTGGGTTGTGCAATAGTGGCCCATTACTTAAGAGAAAAAAAAAAGACAAAGCCTTCTTCTCTTCCCTCCTGCCTTGTACAATGCAAGCACTTTCCTGATCCATCCTCTGTGCCTGGGCCTCCCTCCAGACATGCACCTGTCTGCTTGGACCCTGGGCCACCCAGCTGGGGATTCTGCACATCCCTTAGCATTGCCTGCCCCCACCACCTATTTATCTTGCCCAGGGTACTAGTCCAAAGAGCCTGCTAGCTCCTCATCCCAAATCTAGAGATGTGTCCTTTTAACAGGCTTGGAACCACCCCTGGCCTGGCTGGACCAGAGCAAGCACCACTGATTCCAAGGATACAAACTAACTCTACAATGAGTTTTCTCCATACCCCTGAAGTAACTGCAGGAAACTGGTCCAAGTGAGATGAGGACTAATGCAGGGTCAGTTCCCATAGCTAGGAGAGGGAAATGGGAATGGAGCTGGAACTCTGGCTGGACCTGGGCCACCTCCCCTTGGACCTAACTTGTATTGGGGAAGCCATAGCAAGAAAGAGGTGCAGGGAGGGTTACCACAGGCCTGGGTGCCAGCTTCATTCCAGTGGGTGGGGTGGGGGGGTGCTTCTTCCAGGGCAGCCTGGCTTCTAGGGTTCTAGAGGCCTTATTCCTCCCAGCCTAGTCCCCACTCCAGGCAGCCTGGCTTTATGACTTCATTTGCTGAAGTCACCCGGCGACAATGCTGAGCGTTCCACCCCCCCAAGTCCAAGCCCAGCCCAGCCAGACGCCTCCCACAGTGGAAATGAAGACAATGCCTGCTGGCCCGTGTGGGGAGGAGATGTAGAGGGCAGCGGCACCGGCCGCTCTTGGCACCATGGACGATGCCGCGGTCCTAAGGAAGAAGGGTTACATCGTGGGAATCAATCTAGGCAAAGGCTCCTACGCAAAAGTCAAATCCGCCTACTCTGAGCGCCTCAAGTTCAATGTAGCAGTTAAGATCATCGACCGCAAGAAAACACCCACTGACTTCGTAGAGAGATTCCTTCCTCGGGAGATGGACATCCTAGCAACTGTCAACCACCGTTCCATCATCAAGACGTATGAGATCTTCGAGACTTCTGATGGGCGCATCTACATCGTCATGGAGCTGGGCGTCCAGGGTGACCTCCTTGAGTTCATCAAGTGCAGAGGAGCACTGCATGAGGATGTGGCTCGCAAGATGTTCCGCCAGCTGTCCTCCGCTGTCAAGTACTGCCACGACCTGGATGTTGTCCACCGAGACCTCAAGTGTGAGAACCTTCTGCTCGACAAAGACTTCAACATCAAGCTGTCAGACTTTGGCTTCTCCAAGCGCTGCCTGCGGGATGGGAGTGGGCGCATTGTCCTCAGCAAGACCTTCTGTGGGTCTGCAGCGTATGCAGCCCCCGAGGTGCTGCAAGGTATCCCCTACCAGCCCAAGGTGTATGACATCTGGAGCCTTGGTGTGATCCTGTACATCATGGTCTGTGGCTCCATGCCCTATGATGATTCTGACATCAAAAAGATGCTGCGCATTCAGAAGGAACACCGCGTGGACTTCCCCCGCTCGAAGAACCTAACAGGCGAGTGCAAGGACCTCATCTACCGCATTCTGCAGCCAGACGTTAACCGGCGGCTGCACATCGATGAGATCCTCAGCCACTCCTGGCTGCAGCCCCCCAAGCCCAAAGCCATGTCTTCTGCCTCCTTCAAGAGGGAGGGAGAGGGCAAGTACCGGGCTGAGTGCAAATTGGACACCCGGCCAGGCTCAAGACCCGAACACCGGCCTGATCACAAACTGGGGGCCAAAACCCAGCACCGGCTGCTGGTGGGGCCTGAAACTGAGGACAGAATGGAGGAAAGGCTGGCCGAGACCTCCAGAGCTAAAGACCATCACATCTCCGGAGCTGAGGTGGGGAAGGCAAGCACCTAGTGGTGGACAGGGCCCCGGGGGGGCATGGTGCAGTTGGCACTCACATAAACTAAGTAGGCAAGTAGGAGCGGAAGAAGGCACAGGTGCAAGGAACAAGTAAAATCCGTCAATTAAACCACTATTTTGATTACGTTCTATTAGCTTTCTTCCACTTAGTAGCAAAGACCTTAACTACTGACCACCAAATAAACCACAAAGTGTATACAAGCATCCAGAGTGCCCAGTGAGGAGTCTTTTTCTCTTGGACTCAGCCAGCGCGGAGGGTCCCCAGTGTAGTATTCAGGCACAGGCAGATTCATGGTGAGGCTTCTGTGGCAAGGAGAGGACCTTTAACGTGGTCTACCTAGTAGGCTCACACTTGTCTGCCTCTGACCTACCTTGTCTCCAAAGGCCTCCATTGCCAGGCAGCTCCGTGCCTCTCCCTCAGCATGCAGTGTAGCAGCCCATACAGCCCCTTGCTCCAGGGCCTCCACTAACCCCAGGGGCTTGAGACTGGTATCCCTTGGTTGCTAATGCCCCACCTCCACCATTCCCTATGGGCACCCCTCCACCCATGGATCTGAAAGCCCCAGTAAACAGCCCATGGTGATGGTCATTTCTCAATTTTTCCTTTTACCAAACCTCTTCAAAACACATTTCTCACATTGGCTTGAGGTAAGTAATCAGCACTTGGATAGCATCTTTACCCTCCTCTTCTCTGCTTTCCACTTCCTATGGGTCCCCTTGAGTTCAAGTTCAACCTTCCCTAGAAGGCAAAAGCATCCAAAGGTCCAGCCCCCAGAACATCCCAGGGCACCTACACTAAAAGCTGGCAGGAACTCACTGTGGGGGTTAGCAGAGGCCCCAGACAGGTAGCAGGTATCTGACCCCAGACTAGCTTCCAGGGAACATCAGGGCACAGGGAAAGGGTGAGGACCGATGCAGGAAGACTGGAGCAGACACCACATACAGGGCTCAAAGCAGTCAGGTGTGACCAAAGCCCCCTGAGCACAAACTCCTAGGTATCCACAGGGCACAATCTGTGACATTTCCCCCCCCCACACACACACACTTGATGCTCAAGACACTGGCTTGGGCTAGACCCAGCTAAGCCCAGAGTGCAAGGGGCCCTCAGCTCTATAAACAGCAAGCCCATGGGCCCAGTTGACTACCACCCCCCTAAAAGCCAAGCACCTGCATCCTCAATGTGCCCTCAGCCAACAGACACATTGGACTGTAATGCATATGGTGTGTCTGCACAGAAACTGGTCCCAATTCTTTTTACACTGTGGCCCAGGTCATGTCACAGAACTCAGAGGACAGAGCCAGAGCAGTGGGAGAGAAGAGGCACAACAGTGGAGATAGCACATGAGCTGGAAGCCAAGTGCTGGTAGGTAACAGCTGATGCCACAAGGAAATGACTCATGCTGTGTGGGAGCTCATATATAGACAAGATCTGGCCTGTGACCGGCAAACCAAGTAGGCCACACCCTGCTAGGACAGAACCCAGGTGACCCTGAGGGGTACAACCTTTTTTCCTCCTGATTCTGGGGCTTGAACTCAGGGATCTCTCTCCGAGCCTCTCTGTGCTCAAGGCTAGCGCACTACCACTTGAGCCACAGTGCCACTGCCTGAGCGGGTACAAATTCTAAGGGCTCCAACCTTCTTCAAAGCAGAAAGACTCAGGGATAAGGGTCAAAGAGGGGCACGTGTGAGCTCAGCTCAGAAGGCAATTCCCACAGCCACCCACAGTTTTGTCCCCTAGGGATGCTTGCCTCAAGGCCCGAAATCCTGAAATTCTGGGATTTCAATGTCGGCCCCAGGGGCCATTCAGGAAACAGGATGGAAGAGATCCTGGCAAGACTATGCCTTCTATTTTTTAATGACAGTTCAGTAGGAATTAAATAGAAAAGTTTCGGTAAGGTCCAGGGGAACAGCACAGGTGCTGTACCTCAGAAGAAGTGGATGTATGTTCCATGCCATCATGGCTATGACACAGTGCCTTTTATCTGTGAGTCCACCTCTGGCTTAGGCTTGGGTCCCAGAGTCTGGAGTCCTCTGCTGAGTGTCCAGATAGCTGCCCTGCAGGCTCCATAAGCATCCACAAGCTCAGCCTGGGTCTGACTTTAAAAGAAGTCTGAGGCTTTGCGCCGGGCCGGAAGCTGCAGCAAGTTGTCTGTGATGGAGGCAGGATCTTGTGTGAGGGGTGTGCGTGTAGCAGAGCCGGGAGCTGGTGTACTTGTGGGGGTCTGTGGCCCACCAGCAGGGGTCTTGAGGTGGGAAGAACGTGCTGGGGATGGTGTGTAGCTGGCTCGCAAGGCACGATCTGTGTACTTGCTGGCTGTCCTGTTCACGAGGCGCTGTAGGGCTGGGGACATGGCTGGACTCAGGCCTTTGGGAGTGAGGCTGGGGTAGAGGGATTAGAGAGAGAAGCAATATTAAGTAGGCCAAGTACTGCCAGAAGAGCCTGTCGGAGACATGGTGCTTTAGAGCTCAGGATGACACAGGCAGCCTGGCACACAGGTCAAACCTAAGGCCAGTGATGGTGCTGCCTCTGGCTGTGGGTGAATCCTAAACCTCTCAGAGCTGGAGTACCAACTCTCTAAGACACTGACTCTACAAGGCTGACAAAAGCTCAGAATGGGGCAAAGGGTCTGTGGTGTCTCTTAAAGATGGGCTAAGGAAGATATGGAAGAAAAAAGATGGAGAGGGATCCACAGCCTATTTCACATGTGGCTACTTATGGAGCAGTGCCTTAAAGACCTCTATGTCCACATGGCTTGGGGTGGGTAGAGCAGGGGCAGAAACCAGCCTAATCCTATGCCAGCTCAATCAAGGGCCTTGGCTGCCCCTTACCTGGCTAGGTTCTCTGTCACTCTGCGCAAAGCTTCCTGCTTCTTAGCTCGGTTCTTGGCAGCTGCCTCATTGGCCATCTTCAGGCCCAACCGTTCCCTACGGCCTGGCTCCAAGATCTACAAGGAAGCAGGCATGGGGATGTCTGTACTGGACCTGACACTCAATCCGGCAGTCCGTCACCCAGAAGAGCTGCTGATATGAGCACTAGCCTCTTTCCCCAGGCTGATGATCCCAGCAACCCATCACCATTTCCCAATACTCTGTCAAAAGCCCCCAGCTGGCCAGGTACTGGTGGCTCACATCTATAATCCTAGCTACTCAGGGGGCTGAAATGTGAGGATCACGGTTCGAAGACAGCCCAGGCAGGAAAGTCTGTGAGACTCTTATCTCCAATTAACCACTAGGAAATTGGAAGTGGTGTTGTAGTTCAAGTGGCAGAGTGCTAGCCTTGAGCAAAAGAGCCCAGGGGCATTGCCCAGGCCCTGAGTTCAAGCCCCACTGGTGTGTCTTCCAAAATGATATAAAAGAATGGAAACATTTAGAAAATTGCTAAAATCTTCCTGTCTTCATAAAGATGCAAATTAAATCATGGTATTCGCACTTACTCTTTAGCAGCAAGTGTACATATAACACCGGGAAGGCAATAAAATCCACACATTGTTTCTGACAATGAGTAATGTGAAATGCCCTGGTCTCAGAATCTGGCTCCAAGAAATTATCTCAAAACCATTAAAAGGAACAAGACACCAACTAGGAATTCAGGTGTGAGTTACAAGTGCCCAGCCAGAAATTCCCTTTGCTATAGCTCGTAGGTAGTAGATGGTAGGTCTAGGATTGTAATACATGCTTTTTGTTGCTGCTATTATTAGCATACATTAGTTAAACGGTGTAAGGTTTCATGCACTCATGAGTATATGCAATGTATTCCATCCAATCTAACTCCCTCTATTACTCTCCCTTAATCCCCTCTTTAAGACAATTCAACAGATTTTTGTTTTGGGGATTTTTTTTTTGTGTGTCAGTCGTAGGGGCTGAACCTTGGGCCTGGGCACTATCCCTCAGCTCTCCAGCTCAAGGCTAGCGCCATACCACTTGAGCCACAGTGCTATTTCTGGCTTTTTTCTGCTTATGTGGTCTGAGGAATTGAACCCAGGGCCTCATGCATGCGAGGCAAGCACTCTACCACTGAGCCACCTTCCCAGTTCCTCAACAAGTTTTACTGTTATATTTTCATACATGCTAACTACCATAGGATAAATATTTGACAGCATCTTGGTTATTCCTTTCTTGGGTTGCTGTGGTTATTCATTTGTGCAGGTAGATAGTACATTTATGAGTTTCTCTGAGGAAGAACCAGAGTACCTTGCTGGAGGAAGCTCAGGAACAGGTAGCACAGGAACAACACAGGTCAAGCTAGCATTGCAGTCCAAGTCTGCTTGTGCTTTCTGTTTTCTTTTTTTTTTCCTGGCAGTACTAGGATTTGAACTCAGGGCCTAATACTTGCTAGGCAGGTGTTCTACCACTAAGTCCCTAATCCCTTTTGACTATTTTTCAAATAGTGTCTCATATTGGTGAAGATGGAATCTCACTAACTTTTTGCCCACGCTGGTCTCAAACTGTGATCCTCCTGATATTTCCTGAGTAGCTGGGATTTTAAGTACAAGCCACTTCACCAGGGAAGGAAGAGGGTGTGTGTGTGTGTGTGTGTGTGTGTGTGTGTGTGTGTGTGTGTGTGTGTGTGTG